GTTCCCTCTTATAATTTTCCCCTTTGTATTTTGTTCCTGTTTTCTCATAGAAGCAATGTAATTATGGATTTGTGTGCTACAGCAAAATGCATATGTAGCAGTCCATAGAACAAACCTGAAGTTTTAGGAATAGTGGCCTAAATTTTAGGCCTTTAAAGCAGAGACCATAGGGAAGAAAAGAATGACAAAGAGACAAAAAAAAGTCTTATTGCTCATCATAGTTCTCTTCATTTCCAAAGTTATGAAAAAGGAAAATTGTTTCTGCTCTGAGGTTCTCAGTGCTCTTAAATTTTTATTCACCTGTTAAAGGACTAAGGCTCTCAGTTATGTTTTATTCCTCAAGAATAAATCAGACTATATATGTCTCCCTCTGTAATCATGATTTTAATGCTTAGCTGTCTTTAGAAAATATTAGGAAGGAAGCAATCATTGAATCAATTTATACTAACCTGTAAATGATGTTTTTTATATTCTCTTATATACACAACATACATACGCAAACACACAAGCACAAGTATGTGACTTCTGCATTAGTTAGGCCACATTCTAGAAAGTAGGGCTATATACACACTGAATGAGCAAGCAAGTGACAGAGTAAGGGCAAGAGTGAGAAAGAATACAGTTTCTGCGTAGACGACATTTATGTTTCAGGTATAAGACTTAAAGAATAATAACATTCAAAAATAAATAAACCATAAACTTCAGAAAATGATAAACACAAAAAGTACAATAGGTTTATATGGAAGAACTGGTTGACCAATCATCTTTGGTGGTTAGGGAAGGCGTTTTGGACGGTATCAGCTAAGATGAAATACAATTGAAGACAAGAGACAAGTACTGTGTAAAGGAAGGGGCAGAGCCCTAGTGCAACCCTGGCAAAGAAATGAACTTGGTGTAGGAGGTGGCGGAAAGGCACTAATGGATGCAAGAACAGTAGGCCAGAAAGGACCAGAACGGAATGTCAGACAGGGGCCAGATCACAAAGGTCATTGTTTCGAAAGTTTTTCCTAGAGGCCACTGGGAGATTGTATACAATAATGAGGTGTGATTTACATCTTAAAATTGTCATCATCAGGAGGAGAGACAGACTGGAGGTTACTGTGTGGTCAGGCGAGAGAGATCTGTTTACTAGATTGTCACTGGGGGAGACAGTCTAAAAATTATGGTTTAGTAGAAAGATTTGCAGGACTTAAAGATGGGCTGACTGGGGAGAGAAGCAAAAAGGGGGACCAAGGACTCCTGGGTGGATGTTGATTCAGTTTTCCTGAGAAAGGCAAGATGTGGAAAGAACAGGTTTGGCTGAAGGATAAGATGATTGAGCAGCAGAAATTAACAGCTCTGTTTTGGACATGGAAATCTTGAGCTGCAAATTGTGTATTCATCATGGACACAGGAAAGGAGTTGGTATATGAATCTAGCTCAGGGAAAAAGCAGAGTGAAAATACGCATTTGGCAATCATTGAGGCCTGGATGGCATTTAAGAAATGGAGACTAAGTCTGAGGAGTGATTATGATCTGAGAAGAGGGCTGGAGACCAAGCTCTGGCTCACAGCAGTGAACGCCTGCCTGGGTGGAGATGATAAGGATCGCTTGTACTAGTGAATGGCGAAGAAGATCTGTCTCGCCTGCAGATCAAAAGATTCTTCCCACAGATTCTGAATAATGTGGCGAAACACAGTTTGAACCAGAAATTTAGATATTTAATCCTGCTTTGAGGAGGGAGCGCTAGCTGGGAAAATTTTCAAGGTCCATCTGGCCATCACAGTCTAAGAAAGTAAGTTTCACCTAGAAACTCTACAGACAGCTCATCAGACACTGCAGAAGATCTTCCACTGTAGGAAAAGTGCCAAGACATTAACCTAGAGAAAATGCAGGGTCAGTGCTGAATAATGACAAGCTGTAAGGAAGGAGAGTTATTGTTTTTAATTTCTCTCCTTGTAGCATCTTAGCTTTGTCATCCAGAGATGACAATATCATTGTATTTAACATTTAGGAGCCGTGGAATACAATTACATAGGGCTTTGAAGCAATAGAGTGAAGAACAAAATCAGAAATATTACGTTCATGTAGAATATTCTTCAATTTGCTTATCTGGTGGGGGAGAATGACTACTTGTGTAGATATGATTATCTGAGGTACCTGTGACTATATTGACTACAGTATGCTGTACAATTACTATTGCAGCAAATTATAGGAGATCTCTATGTCCCAGTGGAAAGCATTTGTGGTAATGTAGGTGAGCCATTTATACAGCTAATGATTCTGTTGTTTTCTCTCCAGACTGCCTTGTTACTTCTTGTTTCTGTCTGGATTTTGGTGGCAGGTCTCTACTTGGTTTTAAGTGGCAAGGCAAGTGACTCCTCTAAACATGATGGTTTTGTCCATATGTATGCTACAGATAAAAAATTAACTCTATGCCTGCTACACTTTTCAAAAGAGGCAAAATAATATCACTTGTTAGTACAAGAGATATATAAAGGCATTCTAGAAAATTGACATGTAAAAAAAGGAGTTGATTTGGGTATATTGAAGATGAACCACTGTTAACTAAAACCATATTCAAAAACAAAGATTGGATACAGTAGAAGCATTTTTTATCTCTTTGAAAACAAGAAATGCATTTGGCAGAATGAGCTGCTGCCTTTTTATAAAGGGAGGGTGATTTTGTTTAACTGTCATGAGAGAACTAATTTTCCCCTTTACCATAATTTGTTCATATTTTCTTTAGGTCAGTATGGCAACCTGGACCAGTACAGCAACATGCACACTCTGATGCAGTGACTCAAGCCTGAAGGAAAGTAGAACGAACTCTCATACTTTCCTGTGATAGCTTCAGATAGAAGTATTGGACAATGATGATCTTTAACTCCTAAGCAAAATGATGTAAGGTGGAAATATTTTAAAATTTCCTCTTGTTAGGGTAGTTTCTATAACTGTTGGAGAAAAACCAAACAGTGATAAAATGTGGATCTGGGGGAACCCAGTCAACCTTGAGAAAGTCTGCTATCTTCTGAGGATCAACAATCTTCTGGAAACTGAGGAGTCCTGCTCACTAAAGCAGCGGTAAGAGCATCCTCTAAATTCCCTAGATCACCCATTAACAGAGTTGGACATTCGGACTGTGTTTGGCCTCTTACTCAGAACTCACCCTCCAAGTGTCAAGCAATTGGATAAAAGCATGTATGTGGTTGATCAGTATGAGTCTGGCTGCGTCAGTGTTCTCAAGATAACTACTGAATTAATTTATATGGTTCAGATCATCTTATTCAACATAATCACTAATCATAAAAGCTACTATTTCATTTGATCTTTTCTATGTTCCAGAAGCTTTGCCAGCTGCATAGTTTTATATTCCAATATTTTGTCCAATTTTACCACAATTCTGAATGTTAAATATGGTTATTCCTTTTTGATAAATAGAGACTGAAGCTCAGCAAGGTTAACCGTGGCCACAGTTGCCAAAATAAATATCTGCATGAAGATCAACTCTTGAACAACCATGGAAAGAAATCTGTTCATGCACCGTAACAACCTTTAGACCAGTGACCGACCACATATATATAATAGTGGTCCCCCAGGATGATGTAGTTTAGCGATGTCATGCCCATCTTAGTTTACGGATGCATGCATGTTTATGTGCACGCAACGACAAAATCACCTAATAGTGCATTTCTCAGAAAGTATCAGCATCATTAATTGATGCATGAGCTTATATGATGTAAACTGTATTTGCTTTCAAATTCAACCCCAAATCCAGAATTGTTAAGTACAGCAAGTTTTAGTAGAAATCATAGGTAGCATCTAGATCAGTGGTGACAAACCTATGGCATATGTGTCATGTAGGCTGTTTGTTATCATTGAAAAGGTTCACCATTGCTGATCTAGATCAGCAGTGGTAAATGTGTGAAGCAGATAGCAGTGGCACCACCATCAAGGCTATGTTTGCTTCCACTTCTGCTTTTTCTTTCCCCAAGCGCTTTGCCTGCTACTTGATAGACAATGTGAGTCTTATTGCTCAAATGTGAGGCTGTATGTCTGTCAAGATTCCAGCTCATGTTAGGGAGCAGTTCTAAAATTTCAGCTACAATAAGCTGTGATTAAACCAGAATAACTGACGAGTTACACACACACACACACACACACACACACACACACACACAATTTGCATACTTCTGAGTTCTCTTCCTAAATCTCCCACTGGCTGGTGATGAGTCTCAGACATTTGTATTTCTCAAGACATTCCTCAGTAATTCTGATGCCCACCAAAATTAGAAAATTGGCGCTGTTAATATTTTGGGATGATGTCTTACTCAGATATCTCACTCAAAATGCTTAGTAAATACAATTAACTATAGTAGATGCCTGGAAGAAAAATTCAGATTATAAGGAATGCATAAACAGAACGTCTATGATGTGTACACTTGATCTGCTCACTTTTGTTTCTATTTTTTCCCTTCCAATCAATGCCTGCTTTCTAGTTGCTCTCCTTCATATGTGGATAAAGAGAATATTTCATCAAGTATCTAGTAAATGTGTTTTTCAGTGACTTAAAACTTCACTAAACGTATCAAAGACAAATTTCATCCTTGAAAATGATTCTGTGTTTTGTTTTATGCCTTTGACAGTGCTCATTCAAAGGAGTAACTCATCAGAAAATTTGTTCATCAAACTGATCTGCTCTCTCCATGTAGGCAGGTTACAGAGAGTTTAGGAGTGTGTTCCTGATGACACAATGATGATAACCAGTTTAAAACTGGGAGAAGTGCTATAGTTTTGATAACGCACTTGAGCGGTGACCATTATTTATACCTCTAGGCCAGGGATGGTGCACCTTTCAGAGCTTTCAGTGATAACAAACCACCTGCTGAGGTTCACCACTACTGTTCTAGGCTATGATAAGCCCTATTTATTATTGTAGCATTAAAGATTGAAGTAAAAAAAGGGTCAAGAGAAAATGAACTTCCCCATTTGGAGGATTTCAACATGAATGCATTCTGTACCTGGCACCGAAGTTCCCAGTGCAACAAACACAACAGCAGTCACGGAGTCTTTTAGGCCAATGGTGCAGCCAAAGTGGGAAGCTAGGTCTCCAATGAAAGCTGTCAGTAGGCCAATCATGAGAATAGAGACAATGAAACATGCCCAGCCATTCCAGTATTCTGTAGGTGGGACGAAGGCAAACAGGACCTTCCAGAAGACAGTCAGAAAGTGCATCACATAATCGAAACAGGAGGGCAACTTCTCCTCCCCACATTCATCGTCGTCATCATCTTCCCCTGGAGAGAAAAGAATGAATGAAACACAATTCATTACAACCCATGCTACTACGGTTTTTCTGTCTTTCAATCTCTTTCCAAGGCTTCACTTCTGAGAGACAAGGACGCCATCAAAAGTGAGTGAAGCTCAGAGTTTTCCAAGAGATAATCATAATAAACCATTGATTAGGGTATTCAAATGCCAAAACATACCCTCACTGAGGTCTGCTGACATGCAACCAATAACCTTTTTAATAGTTGTATCACCTCCAGTGAGATTTGTCACTTCAGAGTAATGAGGATTTCTTCCCCAGAGCTGGAAAGTTAAGAAAGAAGCCTACTTGGAAGGCAACTAATTGTAGGCAGAGTTCTGCCAGAATTCTTTTCTACAGTTTGAGATTCAGCTCTGGAGATAAATGCTTACATAATCACTTAATCATAATCATATTCAAACAAAGACTTTAATCACATTGATAGACCTCACATATTACTTCAACTTTATCTCCACAGCCAAACTCAAACTTTGTTCCAGCTAAATAATTTGTATTATTTCAAACAAAATGATAGAAAGATTGAAGCATACCAATCATGTCCATGTTCGCTACTTTTGTCCTTTAGAGTTAAATGAGATCAGTGTGTTTCAATCCATCACTATCTTTTATTCCTCTATTGTCCTTTAGAATTCACTTCCCTGAAACTCTCTCTGACTTCTCACAACCCCAACTGTGGTGAGGAACAAATCCTCAAAGCTCCCATAGGCCATGGTATTTGTAAGTCTGAATCAGTGATTCTCGAAGTATCCTCTCTGAGCCAGAATCTGCAACCTGCTAGAAATGTCAATTTCCAACTTCACTGCATCAGAAACTTAGAGGACCATATACCACAAGATATCTGGGCTTAAATAACCCCACCATATGATTGTGGTTCCTTCTCAAGTGTGAGGACTGCCGCTTTATCTAAATTGCACCTATTTACTATCTTCTCTTCTACAGTTAACTGTGGTTTGCCATTCATTTTTATGTTCCTAGCATCTGATACCATCTCCAGCTCTTAGGTGCTTAAGTGCTTGTAGAGCAAAAGAATACACATCTCTACTGATTTTATATCATTATATAATTACATAATATATATCAGTCACAATTCTCTCAGTTAAGTCATACAATCACAAAATTTGTTATTTAAATAGACTAGGAAATTAGTAATGATATTCTAAAATGCAGATTTCATATATAATGTGAAAATAATCCCCATTCACATGTTTAAAATTAGGACCTTGAATGTCAACTTTTTTTGAAGTGATAGCAAATGTATACTCAGGCTTTGTGGTGACATTGAATAAAAACTTCTTGAAGACTTAATTCACCAGCTGAAATGCCACCTCCAAGAATCTACTTTACTTTTTGCAACCAGCAGCAGGTGGGCCTGTGTCAACTCTCCAATCTGTGACCCTAGATTGCCAGCATGGAGCAAATGTGTGTGCTCTTTGTGACACAGTGTATGGTGTGACCATCTGGTACAGAACATGGAAAGTGTTAGAGCTTTGAGCAATATGTACTTCTTACAAAAGATAAAAAGAATGACTCAGTCTATCCCTTGTTGTCTTACAGGAAGAGAGAAGTGACAATGACCTGCTCTTCCATGACCACGTGATTGGAATTATTTTGTAAACTGACTTGGGGACTTGTGATTAAAAGAGCTTCACGTCTGTGACTTTGGGATGTCTCCAATAAAGTTTTGGGAGAAAGCTCAAGTAGGTTTGTAAAAATCAACTTTGGGGACTACTGTGGTATAGAATTTCAGTCAGGTCAGCTGACATAATGAGTATGAGTGAGAAAGCACTGTTGATTGCTTCTGCAGAATGTGAGTGTGTGCTTAGTGCATATGTCTAATTACCTTGCCTGAAAGCATGAGACTTGCTATGGGCTGCATTAATTCATATACTGAAACTGTATCTCAAAATGCTTTATATCTTTGAGTAGACAACAGGGTCTTTAAAGAGGCAATTAAACGATGAGTCCTAATCCAATCTGATTTGTGTCCTTATCAGAAGAGGAAAATAAGACACACTGACACAAAGAATGTGTGTGCACGAACGATCCACCGGGCGAGGATACACCAAAAACAGATATTTGCAAGCCAGGAAGAGACGTGTCAGGAGAAACCAACCATCCAACACTTTCATGTTGGACTTCCAGTCTACAGCACTGTGAAGAAATAAATTTTTCTGATTTAAGCCACTCGGTCTGTGGCATTTTACTATGGCAGCCTTGGCAAATTAATGCAACAACTATTCGGACACCACCTATATCATGACATTTAAATTTAGAACATACAGACCCAAATTTCATCCTGTACCCCTTAAGTATGTACACTTACTATGCACCAAGTAAAAACATAATTAATTAAAAAATAGGAGTACAGTATCTATTCAGTGTTTCCATCATCTCCTTCTCTTTGCATAATAAAATTTGCACAATAAAAATGAGAAATAGTTAAAGTCATAAATATATTTAATTTGATTTAAATATTATGAATTAGAATTTAATTCCTGTAACAAAAACCCCCAAGATTTTATCAGTTAGAATATTTATCATTTTTTACTATGCAAGTTTTCAAAATCTTTGCTTCTGTCTTTTCTTCTTTTCTTCTCTGCCATTCTTTGGCTTTTCTTTCCATTTTTCTATGCTTTAGCTTCACTTAATCCTATACTCTAGCTACAGGTATAATTTCTGTAAGAGCTACAGTTTTGGGGGCTTATTTGAAGGAGGGCAGAAAACTGTTAATGTTTCTCTGTTGTTTTCCATTTTCTATTCTAAAAGATGTAACATACACCCAAGAAGCTCAAAAAAGCACTAGAGTTTCTAATTATATTTATTTTGCAACTGATCCTTTTACATTTTTGTGTTTGTGAACATTTTATAATATCTCTGGGTATCTGATTAAAGTGCTTTGAAAACACTGACTTTTAATCAATCATTCACAGAAACAGATCATTGTGCCTCTGACGGCAAAATTACTTAATTTTGGGTGACAGTTATATTCTGGAGATGAACAAGAAAACAAATAATGAAGCTCCTCAGAAGAAATGACACTTAGAAATCAAGAGTAGATATTATATTTGTTTTCAATATGGAAATAATAACACCTTTCCCTTGAGGGAGGTGCAGGGGGATAATCGCATCATCTCCATGAAGTTCTGAGGGTGTTTCCAGGTAAAGATTAGCATGGTAGCTGCTCTCAGTTTCCTCCATTAATGCCTGCTACTGTGTTTCTCCATCGTTATTCAATTGTTTAGTCAACCTGCTGTGTTAAGATACTTTCTAAGTTTTTAAAAACAAAATTTAATCTTATCTTTTGAAACATCACGATCTGTTAATGCAAAAGGAGTGTGTGTGTGTGTGTGTGTGTGTGTGTGTGTGTGTGTGTGTGTGTGTTGGAGGGTCCCTTTAGTAGGTTTTCTGGTATTTCCAAAAATCTTAAAAGTTTTAATGTGTCAGTCTGGAATTTTATGGGATTTAAAAGTAGAAGTGGTTTCCACCCTCTTTCTTGGGAATCTCACTGAACTTCATAGATTTTAATCTTTAACTGAGATTCCATTTAAATACTAAAAATGACCACTCCTTGCCATGCATAATGCACAATTACCCTGCCTTAGACGATGGATAAAGGAATATTGTAATCTTCTGTCACCATCTGTCTGACTACTTTAAAGATTGCTTTTTTGCAAAGGGCAGTGAAACATTTGAAATATAAAACAAAACATAAAAAAACACAAACCAAATAAAATTTTCCAAACACTGGGAATATATTTTATGTGACAACCAAAGTGACAGCCACCTGCCATTTCTGCATGTTACCAGCTCAGGGTTATGAGAAGCTACACAACCTTTCAAGTTCTTCCTTTCTGCTAGCAAAGAAACAGAGAGGTTGCTTTGAGAAGATCCCCAGTAAATCCCTCTTTTCTCAGAATCCTTCTTTTCAGCTTTAAGGATGCTACTAATGGAAAGATAAAGAAGTTATAGTGGAATAATCCCTCCCATCGGCTTTCAAATGGCTCTCTTTATATATTTTGAATTTCTTAAATATAACAAAAAACACCAAAATAAAGTCAAATCATTAAAAGTGAAGATATTGGAAAGAAATTCGCTTCATCTCTCAATATCCTAGATCCTGCTCTGGAGTGTGAGAACACGGCACAATGAAGCATGAAAAACAACCCACAGAGAACATACCTGTTAGAGCCCGTGGATAACATATCATGTAAAGTACACAGGTGTTTGTTAACATCCCTCCCTGAATGCACAGGGTTTGACCTCAGTGAGAACTTTGAGAATCTTACAAGTAAGCTGCCAGGGTGTAGTTAACACTTGGGTCAGAAGCCTTAAAAGTCAATTTCTAATTCATAAAGCTTGTTTTGGGGGAAGACATTTAAACTTGTGAACTTCAATTCCACGTCTGTCAAATGAGTCTCCAAACTCGCACATCACAGAGCTGTTGCAAGGACCAGCAAAGAAAATGTCCAAGCTCTTTGTAAACCATAAATCCATTTACAACACAGATGTGTCATAATCCATTATTGTTACTTGTTGGAAGGAAGGCAGTAAATCAATGTGACCCAAGTACCCTCATTCCACTGGATCTGTGTTCTGCTTGAGTGAACTATGATTGCTACGATTTCCCTTAGCTGCTTAATTTTTAGAAAAGAAAAGAAAAAAGAAAGAAAAGAAACGAAGGGAAGGAAATGGGTTATGTACAGAGTGACAGGCATCCAGGGGCGTTCTTATAAATACCAGATCCTATTTCATCCTTACAATAGTTCTATATGGCAGGCATTATTAAACTCACTGTCCACACAAAGAACCTAAAGTTTGGAGAATTTCAGTCACTGTCTGACATAATCAATACTCAGTAAGTCAGATCTGATCTAAGAGGCTAAGGCAATATTCTGCTAAACATGAAGCTAACTGGATGATTTAGTATCTATCACAGAGTCCTTTAGTTCTTCTAATGCCTCATTCTGT